AAATTAAGATAAGCTAGGCATCTATGACATAACCAAGAGTTTTCACTTATGGTGGCAAGACACTTAGCACCTCCTATGGATACATCATCTAGACTTAGTATATAAGAATTATTTACCCTTAAGCCTTTAAACATACATTCCTTCTTTTCATCATGCACAAACAAGCAACAAAATTTTTTAAAGGTAACTTTGAAACCCTTTCCGCAAAGTTGGCTTATGCTTAAAAGATTATGTTTAAGGCCACCAACTAGCATAACATCAGAGATAGTAGTAGATGCGGGATTACCTACACTACCTTTTTCAAGTATAGCACCTTTATTGTTATCTCCAGATGTGACAAATCCCTTCCTATTTAGCACAAATTCAATGAAGAGTGATATGTCACCCGTCATATGTCTTGAACATCCATTATCAAGATACCACATCTTTTCGGTAGATTCAAGACATTCAACCTGAAATTTTAAGTAAAGGAAATATGTAACCAATTTTGATTGGGTCCTTGAAAGTGTCTGAGATCAAAGTTGCTCTTAAGAAACCATTGAACAACTCTTTTAGAAACATGTAACTTCCTAAATTTTCACTTTTCAATGGTGTGTCTCTTTTTGCAACAATAATGACAAGATAAGTTTCTATAAGACATGTCTTTGCTATTAGATTCCTTATGCACATGTCTATGTTTCTTTTTAAAGTAATTCAAAGGCTTTTCAACCTTAGAGGGATAAATAACAAATACAATTTTAGGTTGTAAGGCATCATCTATTTTGACTTGAGGAGATTTGACTTCCTCTTGTCTATTATGATAATACTCACAACCAAACCTAGGAGGTATTATGTCCTCTTTCTTGTCACTTTGAATTTTTATCATAGATTTCTTAATAGCCTCAAACTTTCTTTCGAATTCTAACACTTTAACTTCTAAGTTTAAAATCATTTTTTCATGTGAAGCTAACTTGTTGAAGGCTTTCGAGGCTTATCTATGTAGATTTTCAAAGGCCTCATATAATTGAAAATAGCATATATCATTAGTGTCTTCAAGTTTAGAGGAACTTACATTCTTCTTTTTCTTCCCTTTATCCATGAGACAAATTCGAGTCGATTCCACACTTGAAGTTGTGCTTTTATCACTAGAAGAATCACTAGAAATTTCCCATGTGGCATGAGCTTTTCTAGACATTCTAGGCAACTTGTGATTTCTCCTTTCTTTATTCTTTATTCTCATAGGACATTCTGATCTATAATGACCAATTTCACCATAATGATAACAATACCTTCTAAGCTTTCTCTTTCTGTCTTCATCATCCTTGGAGGAACTTGTTAAACTTATAAACTTGGCTATGTTCTTGTCAGAATTTTTAACACCGTTCTTTCTTGTGTACTGTTGGTATCTCCTTACGAACAACCCCACATCTTCCTCACAAGAGTTCTTATCATCATCACTCCCACTACTATAATACTCACAATATGAAGGTCTTGAGCTTGAAGTATTTAGAGCAATGGACTTCTTCCCTTCTTCTTTGTCTTTCCCTTTTTCACTTTTTGATCGCTTTTCGAATTTGTTCTCGTATTTTGCCAAGAAAGTAAGCTTTTGCTCATGCTCTTTCAACTTACCAAACAAAGCTGTAAGATCAAGCAACTTAAGATCATTTGCTTCTTTAATAGCGGTGACCTTTAGTTGTCATTCCCTGCTTAAACGCCTCAAAACTTATTTAGTAGAAAGTTCATTGGAAACATGATTACCTAGTGCATTTAATCAATTTATAAGATGGGTGAACCGTTTTCAGATATCCGCAATGGTTTCACCATGCTCAATATGGAACAACTCAAACTCTTGATTCAATGTGTTGATCTTAGCTTGTTTGACATCATAAGTGCCCTCATGAGCAATCTCTAATGAGTCCCACATAGCTTTGGTGGTCTCACAATGAGAAACACGATAAAATTCATCAACTCCCAAGGCAGAAGTGAGAATGTTCTTCGCTTTCCAATCGTGTGATCACAGTTTCCTATTGTTATCATCTCATTGTGCTTCCGATTTAGGTATTGTGACACCATCTTCATTAGTCATAGTTATTTCATTTGGACCATTTCGGGTAGCATCCCAAATACCTTTGTCAATGGAGTTGACATGAATACACATAAGTGCTTTCAAATAGCCATAATTTTCGCAGGTGAAAATTAGTTCCCTATTGTATGCACCCTTTAGGTTTGGTAGCCATTCTTATAATAAATGTATCTCAAACACGGAATGAACCAGAGCTTTGATGTCACTTGTTAAACGATGAGGATTCTATCTAGAGGGGGGGGGTGAATATATCACAAATTTTACAACAAAAATCTGTTTTCAAAATAAGGTGCAATGAAAAAACTACCTGAATCGAATCGTCTAACCGAACCTACTATCGAAAAGCAATATACGTAATGCAAACTAAACGGAGTGATAAGGAACGTAAATATTCAACAATGATCAAGCTATAAATCAATTAAATGCAATGCTAATCGTGATTCATATATTCAACGATCTTGAAGGAAACCCCACCTTGGTTTTTTCATTTGAAACACACAAAGCCCCCAACCCAATATTCTCGGTTACATCAAACCTAATTGGACGTTATCAACCATAATCTAGATGGTCACCCAATCGAAAAATGATTATGTGTAGTCCAATTGTATGTATGCATAGAAGAAGGGATGAAGATGATGGGCAACTTTGTAATATGGTTTTGTTTAGGTTTTATTCTCTAGGAAACCTTACCTAGAAGAAGATGCATGTATGAGTTCATATAGGTACACAAATTAATGGGCAAAAGGAATGCAAAAAGTTGGTGTAAAACTGAAATTTTTGGATGGGAAAAGCATATAGGTCGGCCTATGAAAGCAATAAGTCAGCCTATGCGTGTCGTTTAGGTCGACCTATGAAGGTAATAAGTCGGCCTGTGAAGGTCATAGGCCAACCTATCTATAGGCTCAATACTGCTCCATAGGACTCGGCCTGAAAAGTCCATGTGTCGACCTATACTGAAGCTAAGGCTCGTATAGGTCGGCTTGTTCTTGCATAGGTCGGCTTGTACTGATTTGTATGCCCAAAAACATGTTTTTCAATGCAAATATGATGTTGACTCCCTTTTAAACTTATTTGAATGCTTCCTAATGACAAGATGCACATCTAGAATGGAAGGATACTATTCAATATACATAATGCTACACTATCCTAGTTTTGACATCACTCAAAATACAAAAGCACCTCACAGAAAGGAATGCAGGTCGAAGTGTTCAAGAAATTAAGATCTATGATGAATGTATATAGCTTATACACGATGAATTAGGTGGTGTGTTGATTTATAATTTCTTGTGTCGAAGAAGGTTGCTCGACAGAAGCAGGGAAATGTCGAAATGCTAAGTGTCAAATTGTAATAGCTGTCGTGATGTCGAAATAAGTGTATCTTCGACATGTTTGTTAGACTTAGTTTTATTTGTGTTTAGCTGAGTTAATTTGTTAAGATATTGTTTGGGTTGCAAGCAACCTCAATCTATAAATAGGGAGATACCTTATTATTTTTTGTAACTTGAAAAAGTGAATGTTGAGGATTGCAAAGTTTAGAGTAGAGAGAAACTCTGCAGATTTCACAGCTCTTTCTTTCCCTCTTTTCTCCAAAACCCTAATTCTCTTTCTTCCCCAATTTATCTTTTTTCTTCTTCTTTCAATAATCATTGTGTAGCGATATCATCTTACAATCAAGGTTGATTGATTCACTCGACTGAATAATGAAAAACAAGAGGAATAATCAACCAAGAAAGATTAATTCTTATTCATTAAAATTTGATTCAGAATTCTTCAAAATTTAATTTAATCCCACGTTAAAACTTGGTTTAATTCCAACTATTAGTATAGCTTCACTACTTTTCTTTTTATTTTATAAGTAAAAAATTTAGAGGAATTTAAAATTTATCTAGGTTAATTTATTTTTTTAAAATTTAAAAACATTAACAGATATACCCACAAATTAAACTTAGGTTTTCCAATAATAAAAAGAAAGAAGAATGATCCAAAATAATGCATAGTTAATGATGGTGCCAAATTAAACCTCAAACATATAGTCACAAATAACAAATACATGTTCTTAATTACGTCAAAAACTAAAGCAACATAAACAACAAGATCACACAAATTACAAAATCACATGGTTCAATCCTTTGGTCATAAGAGACTCAAAGAAAACCTAAGTATTTTATCTCATACGTATCATATCATATTCATAAATAAATCTACATATTCAGATCAACACTCACATTCCCATGGCTCAACACTAGCAAGTACCTGCAACAAATAATAGATTTTTAGTAGAAATTAAAAATATATATTTAGTTCCATTTTTATTGTACGTTACCATGAATTAAAATCCTATTTAATCATATTATTAATGCAAAAATCCTATTTAATCATTTTTATTTGTACAAAATACACTTAAATAGGATGAACATGTTTGTTTGTTAGCTGTAGCATTTCCCATGGATTGTAAGGAAATATGTTATTTAATTTTAAAAAAATATTGCAATTTAAGAAAGTATGAATTATATTAGCTGATAAGTGATTAGATTAGACAATTAATCATTGATTTGTGACTAATCAATAAACACAGTCGTTTCAAAAACAAAATGATTGTGGCCTATTCTTAAAAAAAAAAACTAATCAATGAATATGTTAGTAACATCACATTAAATATAAAAAAGATAAGCTCAAATGATAAATGAGCATAAATATAAATGAAAAAGACAAATGTAAAAAGAAAGTGCTCTAAGGATAATTCACATATTTTATCCTAACTTATGTGTTTGTCATTTATTGAGTTGAGAAAACAAAGAAGAAAAACCAAATAAAAATGACACATGAATTACTCTAGTCATACTTAGTTGTTTGTCACAAACCTTACATCACAAGAAAATGAAAATTTGAAAATAGATATTTCATGAAATGTGACTTTGAAGATATACTATAGCATACCTTAAATTGGGATGAAATAGCTTGAGCCATTGCCTTCATTCATGTGGTTATCAATAGTGTTTCCTTCTGCTTTGTGATTCTTGACATCAAGATCTGGATGGATTTTCCTCTTTAACATCTTCTTCATCAGCTACAATATTAGAAATGAGTTAAACCTAATCAATTAAATTTCAAACAAACAATCAATTATAGTATTTTTGTTCGCATTAAACATCTCAACACTATCATATCTACAAAAGGGTCAACACTAAAACCCTACGCTAAATACGTCAGTGACACTCTCATGTTGATTTTGTTGATTAAATAGAAATAACGAGTATAATCATGCGTATGTTTTCATACACTTAATAAATTTAGTCAAAAGTGTCAGTGCCACATAACAATTAAAGATGATGAATTTCGACTTGGTACTTAAGTTTAGAATGGTTTCAAAAAATCGCCGATCAAAACTGAACTGAGGTTAAAATAGTCTAACCTTATGTTTGGTTATTGACCTGAACCATGTTGAACAAACAATTCTAGAATCGAACAAAATGGAAAATAAACCGAACTGAATCTAAAAATGAAAAATGTTAAAAACTAGTTTAAAATTTTTTATTAAAAAGATTTGAAAAAGTTATATAACGATTTGGTTTTTTAAAGTCGGCTCGAGAAAAACTGTCTACTAATGGTGGTACGATTCAAAATTTCGAACCAGTATACCAAACCAATAGCTTTAGTTCGGTTCAATTATAAGTAATTTGAAACGGTCTGATTCAGTTTAGATGACCTTTTACTATATTTCGATTTGATTTTCTAACCGAGTTGTAGCATGGACAACAATACTAGTTGAGTTTGTTCAAATTCATTAGTGCTTTTAATTAGATATATAGTCTTTAGTTAGCAAGCATATGAGGTATAGTAAATCTTACTTTCTTGATGTCTTTGATTGGATGTGCATTGTCCTTAACAAGAGGAATGATCTTCTTAGCAAAAGAAAATCCATTTTTTGGTTTAAGGTTTGGTTTTTCACTTGACTCATTCAGCACTTTTGCTTTAGGATAATCAAGTTTCATCTTAAGCTCAGAATCAGCAAGGAATAGATCAGCTAAAGTGATTCTTTTCTTTTGATCAGCTTCCACATCATTTGCCTCAATGATTTCATGAAAAATCATAGGTGGAGGAGGAACATAAACAATTTCCTTAAAGTTCTCAATCATCACTTCTTTCTCTTTTGTAGCATTGACTTCTTCAACATCATCATGGTTTTCACAAACAACATCCTCAGAGTTGTTGTTCTCATCCAATGTATTGTTGATCAATGGATTGAGTTCCTCTTGTTCAGCATTATAGAAACTTTCATCATCGTCGTCGTCATCGACTAAATCATGTGGTTTTTCAGCTTCCAAAGAATAGTAATCTTTGTGATTGTTGATTGATTTCATTGGATCATAGCCAAGAGTTCCAATGGTTAGAATTCCATCATTCCAACCTCCAAGCATATCGGTCAAAGCAACTTGTTTCAACAAAGCTTGATTATCATTTTTGTTGTTCATTGTAGATTCATTCTTTTTCATGTTAGATCCAAATCCATCTGCGAAAAAACAACAAATGTTCATTGAGAAAAACACTATTGATTTGTTTATAGGTCTCATTTTCAAGCAATATATCGCTGACATTTCAACTATGTTGACACTCTAGCATGTCACTCTGACAAAGCAATAACAATAGTAACACTTTAATTTGTAAAAAAAAAATTAACAAAATGAAGTTAAAAATTGAATAAAGTTTTAATTAATTTATAGAATTCAAACCGTTGGAAGAGTTGTTATGATGAAACCTCTTGTGCACCCAATTGAAGATCTGCCACACAAAAAATTCACTATGATCATATGAACTATACATTGAAAAATGATTACTATTTAAGATCACAAGATATTTAAAAGACTACAAAGGAAGGAAGAAAAAAACAAAGTAAATTGAATATGCATGAGAAATAAAATGGTTGTGTTGAGTTTGCATGGTTTGAATTACCTTCATGGTTTAATTTTCCTTAGAAAGTTTGCTAGAGAATTCGGTATTGAAATGAAGAGTGGGGAATGTGAAGGGTCCAAATAATGAGAAAAAGGAATGAAAAAAACACAATGGGGACCAACATGTGATGTTGAATTAGGTTGTGACACGTGGTTGGTGGACCCTTGTGACCCCTTGAAATTGGATTTTGTAGTTTGGCCATTTTTGTTTCATGAAAGTTAGTATGATATGTTTTTATTCACCATGTTATAGTGTTGCGATTATGATAATTGTAGTTATTGTAATACGCATTGCAATTGCTGCAACGTGAATTTTAATTAAAAATTGTTTGAAATACATGGTTAAAAAAATATTTAATGTTAAAATTTTTTATTACCTAAGAAGTAAATTGAATTTTGCAAACTTAAAATTTTAAATTTTGATGAAAATATTTGAAAAAATATAAGCAAAGTTGTTGTTAGAAATTATTTATATTTTACAAAATTTAATGATTAAGCTTAGTGATAGATGTCATTTTGTAATTCTTCCTTATAATTTTGTAGCCGGCATTTAAAGAGTATAAACATATTCTCTTATTCTATTTCTTCTCTTTTAACCTTGTGCACCAATAATTGGTATCTAGAGCTCCGGTTCGGATTCACGAGGAAACACGGGAAACACGAGTGAAACAGTGAGGCGTTGTGTGGTTGATTTTGTTTCTTGAATTCGTGTTGAATCTTGAACGAAATCGTAACATAATCACATTTTTTGATTCTGCAGGATTGGGAAACACTATGTTTAATGAGATCTGAGTGATTGCACAAGGTTGAAGATGAACGAAAACGGTGGTCTGAGCACCAAGCTTCCAGTGTTTGATGGAAAAAACCGGACTCGTTGGATGATTCAGATGTGTGTATTGTTCGGTGCTCAAGATGTGCTTGATCTTGTCACTGAAGGTTACATTCCAATAGCAGCAAATACAACGAAGGAACAAAAAAACACGCAGAAAGATACGAGGAAGAAAGATCAGAAAGCATTGTTCTACATCCATCAGTGTGTGGATGCAAATGTGTTTGAGAAAATCGCTGATTCAACGACGGCGAAGGCTGCGTGGGATACACTGGTTAGGTGCTATGGTGGTGACGCATCACTGAAGAAGGTGAAGCTTCAATCTCTACGAAAGCAGTATGAGAATCGCAACATGAAGAACAATGATAAGGTATCTGAGTACATCTTCAGAGTGATTATGATCACTAATGAGATGAAAGCTTGTGGAAAAACCCTTTCTGAACAAGTAATCATTGAGAAGTTATTGAGATCTCAGTTTGATTACATTGTGGTAGCAATATAACATTCTAAAGATATGAGCACCATGAGAATTGAAGAGTTGCAAAGTAGTCTAGAGGTATAAGAGTTGCGTCTGATTGAGAGAACTTCTGGAAGGGAAGTAGAGTAGCAGGCTTTGAAAACAGTTTCTGGCAAGAAGCATCATAAACAGTCTTGGTTAGAAGGCAGAAGAAGATCTGATGGTGTTCAGAAGTCAGAAATCTCAACTTCTAATAGGCTGAAGAATGCTCAGAAAGGAAAAGAGAGGTATGACAAGAAGAAGATCCAGTGCTATTGTTGTAAGAAGTTTGACCAATTTGCTGCTGATTGCTGGTCAAATAAGGAAAGGAAGTCAGAAGAAGCAAATATAGCCAGAAGTTCTGATGATGAATCTGTGCTACTGATGGCTTTTGAATCTAATGATACGAATTTGACAGACTGGTGGTATATGGACACTACCTCCTTAAATCATCTTACTAGAAATAAGAAATGGCTGGTTGACTTTGACTCTGATAAGAGCACAAAGATTAGATGTGCTTATAATAAATACCTTAACGCTGAAGGTATGAGAAATGCCATAGTCATTCTGAACAATAGGAAAACAACATTGATTCAGAAAGTGTGGTATGTACCTGGCATGAAAAGCAATCTGATGAGTGTGGGGAAACTAATTGAGAAATGTTTTTCAGTTACCATGAAGGACAATGTTCTGAAGCTGTATGACTGTAATCAGAAGCTGATTATGGAGTCAGAACAGGGAAGGAATAGAACATTCAAGGTGAATGTAATAACTACAGACTCTGAATGTCTTAGTGCAACAAGTGTTGTGAAGGAAAGTGAGTTGTGTCATAGAAGATTTGGTCATCTGAATTTCAGAAGCTTATGGAATATGAATTCGAAGAAGCTGGTACATAGAATTCCTACAATTAAGAAGGCTGAGAAGTTATGCAAAGTGTGCATGGAAAGAAAGCAACCAAGATTGTCATTTGCATCAGAAGTAGCAACCAAGATTGTCATTTGCATCAGAAGTAGCTCCGAGAGCAAAGCATGCCTTAGGAGTAGTGCATTGTGATGTGTGTGGTCCATTTCCAATATCATCGATTGGAAGGAATAAATACTTCGTGTCTTTTGTTGATGAATTCACAAGAATGACATGAGTACCCCTTATAAAGTTCAAACACAAGATGTTTGCTGAATTCAAGAAGTTCAGAATGAAGGCTGAGAATTAGAATGGCCAGACTCTAAAGATTCTCAAAACCGATGGTGGAGGTGAGTATAACTCCACTGAGTTCAGAATGTTTTGTGAAGAGAATGGAATTGAGCATGAGGTTACTGCTCCTTATACTCCTCAACACAATGGTATTTCTGAGAGAAGAAATCGTGCTTTGCTTGATATGATGAGAAGCATCCTGAAGGAGAAGAAGTTTCCTCATACCTTATGGGGAGAAGCTGTTGCCACCGCGACATATGTGCTCATCAGATGTCCAATGAAGAAGCTGAAAGAAATAGTTCCTATTCATAAGTGGATTGAAGATAAGCAAAGTGTTAGCCATCTGAAGATATTTGGTTATGTATGTTAAAACCATGTTCCAGAAGCCAGAAGACTTAAGCTGGATGATAGAAGCAATGTAATGTTACTAGTGGGGTACCACAGTACAGGTGTGTACAAGTTATATTGTCCAGAAACTAATAAAGTTAAATTCAGCAGAGACGTCATTGTCAAGGAATCAGAAACTTGGGATTGGAACAAGTCTCAATCAAAGTCTGATGTGAGAACTTCTGAAGAAAGTTCAAAATTAGAAGTTTCTGAAGATGAGTCAGAAATTGGAGAAGATTCTGAAGCTGGAGTAGACTCTGATGGTGATTCTAACTCTAACAGAGACTCAGAAAGTGAAGATGATTCTGATCCAGATTCTAATGGTGATTCAGATTCCTGTGGTGATTCAGATTCTAGGAATATTCCAGACTCTAGAGGTGGTTAAGGTTCTAGAGGAGGTCAAACTTCTGAAGCAAGAGCTTCTGAAGATAAAACATCTAGAGTTCAAGCATCCAAAGGAGATTCTGAATGAGGTCAGAGGCCACAGAGAATCAAAAACATTCTGAAAACGTTTGCAGAGTTTGACATGCTACAACACACTGAAGTAGAAGTCATTTAGTGTGCCATGTTAGTAGACTCTGAACCCCTAAGCACGAAAGAGGCTCTTGAGCAGAAAGTATGGCTGAAGGCCATGAAAGAGAACTTGATGTCATAGAGAGGAACAATACTGGGAAGTTGACAGAACTTCCAAAGGACAAGAAATCTATCAGTGTCAGATAGGTTTTCAAGTAGAAGCTAAAGCCAGATGGATCAAATGACAAACACAAAGCGAGGTTAGTAGCAAGAGGATTTCTGCAAAAACCTGGGCTAGATCATTTTGAAGTGTTTGCACCTGTAGTGAGACCTGAAACAATCAAACTAGTGATTGCAATAGCTGCTAACAGGAATTGGCCTCTAATGCATTTAGATGTGAAATTTGCATTTATGAATGGTCCGTTACAAGAAGAGGTATACGTGTCACAACCTCTTGGATTTGTTAAAAAGAATCAGGGAGGGATGGTGTACATATTACATAAAGCTTTGTATGGATTGAAGCAAGCGCCCAGAGCCTGGAATCTGAAGATTGATTCATTTTTCAAGGAGCAGGGGTCTCAGAAATGTGAGATGGAGTACAATGTTTAAGTTCAACATACTTCTGAAGGCAATATGATTTTAGTGTGTTTGTATGTTGATGGCATACTACTGACAGGGAGTTCCGAACAATAGATAGCTAAGTTCAAGAAGGTGATGATGGATGAGTTTGAAATGATTGATCTCGAGAAAATGATATATTTTCTAGGGATGGAGTTTATATACTTTGAGAAAGGTATCATTTTGCATCATCTAAAGTATGAACTTGAGCTTTTGAAGAGATTTAAGATGCAGAACTGTAAGGTTGCTATCACACCTGCAGATACAAATCAGAAACTAGATTCTGATTCTGATGGTGAGGATGTGGATGCTACAACCTTCAAACAGTTAGTTGGTTCTTTGAGGTATCTGTGTAATACCAGACCTGATATCTGCTATGCAGTTGGAATGGTTAGTAGGTTCATGAGTAAACCTAAGTGGTCCCATTATCAAGCTGCTGTCAGAATTCTGAGGTATATTAAGGGAACTCTGAAGTATGGAGTGCTATTTCCTTCTGGAAGAAAGATTGAACCAGAACTTCTGAGTTATTCAGATTCTGATTGGTGTGGAGACAATTGATAGAAAAAGTACTTCTGGATACTTGTTTAAGTTTCTGGGAGGTTCTATTTTTTGGTGTTTCAAGAAACAACTTGTTGTTGCACTGTCAACTTGTGAAGCTGAATATATCACAAGCGATGTGATTGCATGTCAAGCTGCGTGGATTCTGAACTTACTGCACGATCTGAAGATCAAATTTAACAAGCCTCTGAAGCTGGTGATTGATAACAAGTCTGCAATCAATCTTGTCAGAAACTCAGTGCTGCATAGGAGAAGCAAGCATATTGAGACTAAGTATCACTTTCTGAAAAATCAGGCTCTGAATGGAGTGCTAGAAGTTGTACACTGTAGCATGCAGAAGCAGTTGGCGGATGTTCTAACGAAGGCTATCAGAACCGATCAATTTCTTCGCTTAAGGGATGAAATTGGTGTTGTA